CAGAAACGTTTCCTGTCGAAGGAGGTCGTGTTCAGGTTCATGTGTGGTGACAACAACCCCCAATTTTCATCTGTTCATTGATCTTCCCCAAGGATCTCCACAATCTTCTATTGATGCCATCCCCAAATCTATCCAACGTGAATCCGATTATCGGTAAGTTGCAATACTTCTATTGTGGACGAAGTGAGGAATAATCGATTTTTTTTTTAATTGTCGATAATATTATTTGCTGATCGAAATGATTAATTATGAAAAACTTTGGTCATTTATTTCAGCGCATGTTGATCACTCTCAATATAGAATAATACTAATAATAATTTGTGATGTTTATTGAACGATTAATTCCTTTTTTTATAAATAAAATGTCAACAGATTAGCGGGAATAATTGCTTACGCTCAGGACAGATACGTTGGATACTGTTGGACACCAGCAAATTGGGTATTATATGATGGCCATTCTACTGCGGTTCAGACTGTATCCGGGTCTGCGAAGATTCAACCAAAAGCTTTTATCTACGTTGTGAAGGAATCGCAGCCTTCACAATAACTTTAATGTATGATTAAGTATTAAGTTGTTCAGTGCGTTCGTTGAATGCAAATAATGGATATTTAAGCTTTCAGTTTTAAGAGATCTGTTATGATAAACTACCAAAAAGTTCGTGATGAATCATGAAGAATGTTGAAATCTTACTATAATTTGTGAATGTCTCTATCATGATAGAATCACAAAGAATGTTGAAGACTTCCTATTTTTAAGGACAAAATAAAGGACATAGTTCGAACTAATATACAATGAACCATCAATGACCTGTCTCTCCGCTATTTACTCGATGCCACCTTTTTTAATTAAACAGATGTTTTTATAAAAATTCGCCATGACTCTCTTTAAAGTGAAAGTTCACGAGCAGGATAGAACTTCTTTTGGCAAACGAATTTAAATAATGATTGAAAATAAAAATGGTTGGCTATAGATGAAAATTAACGTAATATGAATAACGCGGTACGCGTAGAGTATGTGCTCATGCGCAAGCGCACTCGTCGGTCAGAATAATATTCTTTAATTAATTAATATTAGATAAATGATGATTGATAAATTAATAACAATGGACTATATATGACCTACAAACAATGTTGAATCCAATGACCAGGTTTGTTTTGACCTTCAATGAAAAAATAAAAAATGGGGTGCTAACTTTTGCTCGAAAAAGTTTTTAATTAATAAAAAAATAACTATTGACTATCAAAGCGAATTGATCGAATATCAATGAACTTCAATAGACCTTCAAAGGGCCCGACTGGAAAAACTGATCAATTTTTACCTATGTGGAATTAACTATCTGGGGCCACATTTGCGAGACAATTTTTCTCCAATTTGTTTAATCATTTTAGAATTTGTTAACAAAAAAGCTATCGTTTAAAAAAAAAAGTTCCGAGGGACCCATAAATCTCGACGTTTCAAGCGATTCCCAATCGTTTGAATATATATTTGCGAGACAATTTTTTCCCAATTTGTTGAACAATTTTTCGAATTTACAGAAGTGAATTCATTTTTCTCATTCCGTCCATCGATTGTTTCTCCATCATACCCCCACTCCGCTCTATATGGGATGTTTTCTTTTGTCTCGATTTCCTGGAATTGTCGACACTCTCGCGTTTGCTGATCTTTCCGAATTATCGACACTCTCGGGCTCGCGCTCTGCCTTATCTGTACCCACGCCCTCCGAAAATTACCGACACTCTTGCCCTCGCGACCTGTTTGATTCACAGGTGCACCCGCAAAATTAGTTCCGCCAGTTCCGCTAGGAAAGTTCGCGGTTGAAGCTTCGCCATTGGCGTTAGCCAATCCAATCTCCCCTATAATCTCTAGTCATACTTGCAAAGTCTTATCCCCTCCACGCAATTTTGCAATCACGGTTATTGCTGATAATTTCCAGACTAATGACTCCTAAACGTCGATTCAAATGAATATAGTATTTACAAACGAATTGCAAACGATTACAATAAAAAAAATCATTTAAGAGTGATTAGAAAAAAAAATGCGGCTAACTACATGGGTCATAAGTTTTTTATTTTTTATAAAAAAACTATCTACTCTTAAATATTATGACCTTTTTTGCAATCACCTGCGAACGATTTACAATCGATTGTATGAGTTCGTTTTTGTAATTGTTGATAATTTGCGGCTAATTACATACTGCTACACTGGGGTGTCTGCCCGTTATCCAATTTAACAATTCTTCAGTAGCAGTGCTTTTGAAATTAAAATTTTATGGGAAAACAATGCTGCGACACTAAGCTGCAATTAAAAAAAATGATTAACCTAGTTTGCATGACTATTAATGAACTTTTCATTCCTACTGTTTAAAACTCATTATCAAAATTGATCACACTACTTCCTAATTATAGTATACATTACAAAAAGTGCAGTAATTATCGATTGCATTTGCAATAATTTCACATTCCTTATTTTTCAAGTCAAGATCAAGATAAAGTTCAAGATCTTTCTTTCTATTCATTTTTTCTCTATAATAGTAAATGATTATATATGAAGTAATCAAAATTTGATAAATTGAGATATTTTTCTCTGTATTTTCAGTTTTAGATTTTATCAACTTTTTCTTTATGCAGCTTTTTTATTTATTTTGTTCCTGGTGAAAAAGACCAATGGTGATTTCAAACCTGATTTTTTGCTACAAAATCAGTTTAAAGTGATGCCGCTTCCTCGTTGGTTTTTTTAAATTCTAAAATCCGTTCAAAATTAATAGATTTGCATTACTTTTTTTCAAATATAATACCCTCACGTCCTTTAGTGGGTATTATCTAAGCACCGTCATGGACAATTCTTTACTGTCAGCATAGTGAATATACCAATAAATAAGTACACGGTTCGATTGGTCGACGCATGGAAATTTACGAAGGTATTGGCGTAACAGCGATATGCAGCTGTTGTGAAACTATTACAAAAGTATCCTATCATAAAGAATGATCATTTAATTAAATGTGTTGGACAACCACGTCGAATGATCATTGCGTATAAGTCACGAATCGTAAGTAACCTACTCCTCTGTATACCCCATGCTTGTGTGACAGTCTAAAGCTAGGTTATATCCGACAATATTCTATACGTTATTTAACTCCAACAAAAACGTTATAATCCGATTGAAATTCTACTAAGATGATTTTTTTTTTAATCCCTTTAGAGAAGGACAAAAAACAGTTAATCAAAAATCTCAATAACTAGTGTTTGTTAAAATTTTTTTTTCATTTATTGAAAGCCTAGTTTTTCAAAATTCCTGTCTGCACAGGTTCATTGGACACTAATGTACACTGCAATCTGATTTTAATGTTGCAGAGTATTACACGTTCAGAAATTCTCTTAAAATGCAGCAACCTCATGAAGTACACATAATCCATGAGGAACAAATTCTGGAAGCAATTGATCAACTCCGTCGTCGAAAAGCCCGTCCAGATGCTGATCGAATTTGCAACTATCTTCTCCGAAAATTTTCAGTGGATGTTAGGGACACCATTGCTGACTTACACAGGCTAATAGAAGCCGAAAAGGTCATTCAGGTGGACTACAAAGGGAATACCAGCTACAGAAACGCCTCGAAATGGTCTCGTCTACAACTGTATAAAAATCGTCCTGAAGGATTTGTGAAAGAAAAATTAAACTCAAACATGATGGCTTCTGCCTTTGCAGAGCTTCTCGTGGAGGAGCCGGACTATCTAGATCAAGGAGTCCCTGCCTTTCGACTTATTGAGCAGCTCCTCGACGGTATCAGCAACCCTACATCAAGAAAAATGGTTGAAGATTTCCTAGCTAAAGAAGTCTCCAGTGGAAACGTAACGAGAATGAGTAATGGTAACTATTCTTTGGTTGGGACGAGTGATGTCACTGGTAATACCTCATTTGGAAATGGCAAAGAAGACACTGGACATTCTGTTAATAAACCGAGAAGGTATTCCAGCGAGACTGGAGATTCCGGAAAGGACTCGATACTTAGAGAATCCAATTCCGATTTTTTCGGCTTTGATGATGGAGGAAATTATGATTCAAGGAGTGACAATACTCCTAGATCATCAAGGCAGGCGAGCCCCAAAGACGACATTGGGAAGAAAGATGAGTCTAATGTCATTGAGAAAGATGTCGAAGGGAAAGAGGCGGAGAAAGAGAGAAAGAAAAAAGAGAATGAACCAAAAGACCAAAATAAAGAGGAGGAAAGATGCCTGAAAAGTGGAGAGAGCGTCGGAAAAGTGAAAAAGTCGAGTAAGAGTGAAAGAAAACAGAGATTATTGGTGAGACCGGATGACTCGATGGATTTGGAAATTAAATTTGAGCATTTCGTGGGACGTGAGGAAAAAGATAGGAGGGGCCGTCGAAGAAATGAGGGGGAGGAGGAGCACAGTGAGGAGAGAGAAGATGAGGAAACTGGAAGAAGCAGTAATAATCAGTCACCAACGGGGGGGACTTTTGGAGGCTTTCGGAGTGCTAGAAGGAAGGTTAGTTTCTGAAAAAATTAATCCTAAAACTTAGTATTTTCGTTTCTCATGACTTGTCGCCTGAACAGTGGTATTATATACTTTCCCAATTCAAAAACTTGAAAGTAACCACTGAAAACTGTGGTTCAGACTGGTCGGGACAATTTTTCACTCATGTGGAACTGGACCACGATACGGGTGAATCGTAACGGTCCAGAAATATATTATTTCGTGCTCAGAAAGTACATTTAAGAAACATGCAAGAAAGGTTGGTGGTTACCAGAAGGATAATTGGGCAAAACAAATTTTCTAAACCGGAAATTCGGCAATTCAGGATCATTACCCTCTTTGATATTTTCAATAATACAATCATCGTAAATGTGAAACAACGAATTAAAATTAACAAAATAAATAAAACTCGCTATCTAAATTGAAAATGTTAGTTTGATTAGTTAAGGAGGCATCCAATTTCATGGTTGCCCAATAATTGAATGATTAGACTGCGAAAATATCAGATTATTCATTTAATGAAGAAAGTCGAAAAGTTATGAATACCCGAGTAATAAATAATCAAAGCTGAGAAATTAATTATTATTCATATATTCGCATATTATTAAAGTTGGAAACTTCCTATCCACTTGTTCATTCATAGTCCGGATGATTTCAAATAACTATTTCCAAATAACTCTTTCCCAATAATTTCGTTGGAAACAAACGAGGGTATCAAACCCCTTTCAAATTCGAATATGTGAGTTGTTATAATACACGAGAGTTATTTGTCGTATTAGAGTAGAATTTGTAGAATTCTATAAAGCCGTGGAGATAAAAACGGGAAAATGAATATTCATTCGTCTCCGCTATTCTTCAATGAATTTCTGAAAAATGTGAGAATTTCCAACAGATAATCTGAGGAGCATCGTGTATCGAACCTCCATATCGACTGGGTGAATAACTGATGTCTGAAATATTCAATAGTAATAACATTAGTGTAATACCTCTCTAGTGTTTCAAACTGACCACATTCCAATAGCTTCGTTCCCAAGAAACGATGGTGTTAAATCTTGCAGATTAAAAACCCCAAATACAAAATGTGATGAGGGTTTCTCCAAAATTTGAGACACTCATTCTTAGGCAGGGAAGCTTGAGGAAAATATATGATTAATTTTGAAGCACGACCGGTGTTTGGTGCATTATTTTTCTTACTCAGATTTCAATCCATCAGAGCGCAGTATCTTCAAGGCTATCAAACAGAATTTCATTGTATATTTCTTAAGAATTTCCGATGGGTATAGTAGTTTTTCAAAGGTCTTCCTCTTTAAACGCAGTTCCCGTTGAAGATTCAGTACGTGACAGATAGACAAAATGTGGATTATTTTCAACATAATTGAACACGAGTTGCTCTAGCGGTTTTTGTTGCAACATATTTAGTAATAACTTAATAAAGGAGAGTATATCGGCAATATCCTCTTAGCGTACGGAGAGAAAAATACTCAAGAAATTACGGAATTTTTATGTAGCTGTGCGATGAATGCATGCATGTATTATCTATGCATAGTTATAATTACAAGTTAATTATCTTTTACGAATGCTCTCTGCATGTATTCTTAACAAAATACGTGAAAATTTTCAGTTTTTATTTTGGCTTTTGAACGGAATCTTTCGAATCGTCAGATTTCCGAATTGGTTAATTTTGCTTGGAAATGATGAAGAATGGTCTAAAACGTAAAAATACAAAATTTGAGCACTATGTGTATATGTGTACATGGGCTTACTCTTTTAGAAAATTAATGGAATAAACGGCTAAAGTTATTCCGAGAATGGCAAGATGTCGTGAAATTATAGGTATTACTAAGGATTAAGGATGTGACAAAATTCAGCTCGATTGGTCCAGCCATAAATTGCTGTTTCTTTCTGAATCGTTTCTTACAAAATCTCGAAAACTACTCAACCGATTTCAATTTTTCACGTTTTTCAATTTATTCCAATGAATCAAAATATGTATATTCGTTCGCACTAAGTTTCCGAGATATTTCAATTTTTCTATTTTTATAAAACAAAAATTCGTTAGCACGGTAAAGTTGCTAAAAATCCATTTATTAACTTGAAATTTGGTATGAAATTTCCTCTTGGTAATGAAATGTTTATTATTGAAGAACGACGGAATTGGATCATTAGTTCATAAGATATTTCACTTTATATTAAAATTAATTTCCTTGAATATCTCGAAAACTATCCAACGGTTTTCAATGTCTCAAAAATACTCAGTTAGGGGCCTTGTAACATAAAGTAACATGCCACACGGTTTGAAAAGCATTTTAGCAATAAATTTGATCAGAAATAAAGATAGGACCCCTGTTGTATATTGCCTGAGCGGTATTACAACAGAATTTTATTCGCACTAGTTAGATATTCTTGAAGAATTACCAATTTTATGATCTGCGATCTCATGAGACCAGCCAAGAATCTTAAACCCATCATCTGCTATCGCAATTAGTCCAAAATAGATGTCACTATGCAGTCCATTCTTGATTAGCACCTCCTTATTTGCCATCTTTACTAGGATATATTATAAAAATGAATAGATCCTAGCTATTATCACTATGACCTTTTCTCCCCAAAATTTTGTAACATGTTTACCGTTTTGATGGCTTTCCATTATTTTTCTTCCGGCTCTATTCTTTTTGCGCTTTCCCAACCTTATTTTCGATCCAAATGTTAACTCGTTTTGCAATTAAATTTCATGTGTTTTCTGAAGACATTCATTTTATAAATGATTTTTCATCGAACATTTATTCCATGATCTTGTGAAAAAATCTTATGGAAAAAGCATAACTAATCAAAAATTTTACATATTTCTTTAACAAAATTTCTACTAAAGCTTTTTTCTTTACTATTGTATTAATAAAAATGTTTTCTTCCCTCAAAAAGAAATTCGTTTGGATGATCTTTAACTCAATCAATTCCGAGTCACATACCTCATCATAGAAAATTTTCGATAAACATCAAGAAATAAGAGAAATCATACAAAGATATAAGCACTGTCTCTAGCCATTCGGAAACATTCCATCAATTCATTGATGGCGATTAAAAAAATCAGTCAAGGACTTGTTCAGTGTCACATCCTCGCTGCCATATACTCCCAGCCTTCTGCTTGTTTCCAAATGTACTGCAGGGAAAACACTGAAACTTTTTTGTGCTCAATTTGAAAAAAATATCAAATAAATAAATACAATCATTTCAAATTTTCACAGAGAAGTAGAAAAATTTGTACACATCAAAATTAATTGACAAAAAAGTGATACAAAATAGAATTTAGCAAGGAAAAAATATTAAAAAAAAACAATTTTCTATAATTTTGATTTTTTTTTATCTTTGTGAATTTTTTCTGATTTTTGAAACGATTTTTTGAATGATAAAAAAAATAAAATTAAAAATTTTTAATTCATAAAAATTATGGAATCAAGGTAAGAGATAAAAAGATAAAAAGAGGAAAAAGCCACTACAACTGCAAAACCCTTAGCATTTACTATTTTGAAGAACAATAAATACCTTCCGAAATGATATAGTATGAATAGTTCCTCTTACTTGCAAAAAATGAAAGAATTTTATGATTTATGATTACACGAACTAAAATAGGAGTTTTTACAACATGACGCACTAAAATTGCTACATTATCTTCTCCTGCGATTGATCGAAGAGATGAATTATTAATAGTCATATCAATACGATGAAACCTCCTCGCTGACCAACTCCAAAGAATCGAGGAATGGCAGAAACTGTTATTTGGTTTTGACAAAACGTAAAAAATGGGAACGATCTGTAAAAACACTATGAAATTCCTTCCAAATGAAATTCAGCATATACCATTCTGAAGAGCCATAAAAGCTTCACAAAATGACATACGACTATCTTGAACGATTTCACTTGAAAATATTGAAAAAACCAAATAAAGTTAATTTTCTGAAGAAAATATAATAAACCATTTTTCGCCAAAAAATGCCATAAGGAAATGAAAAGTTATCAGAATTTGATGAGTCAGGTGCGACTGGAGATAATTAAGTAAGCTTTCCAATGAATACATAACATTATGATTTTTGAGAAAGGAAGATGGTCATAAGCCTAGAAAACGAAGCAAAGGCCTGGCAATCATTTCGGATTTATTGTCGGGCATGGGTATTTTTTATATTATTCATTCTTGAGATTATATTAATCGGAAACACTCTCACGTGTATCGTTCGATTGTGAAATCCATTATTGTTTTCTTTGTTGTATTATTTTAATTGAATTCATTATTCGATTACTCAACATTAGTTTTTAATTGTGTGTCAGGTAAATAATAATCAGGTAAGGAATATAAAAAAGGTAAGGTAAGGAATATATTTTAGATGGTCTTCAATTTTGAAAATTTTCTTTGTCACTCATTGTTTCACGACTATGAAAATCAGCCTATGATCTGATAACAAACAATACTATTCCATATACCACCGTGAAGAACTTATTAACCTCATATCGTTACGGAACTTACCTTTGGCCTGCTCCTGTTGCCTGTAACATGATATTGATCGAATAATCTCTTCATTTCCTATGGCTGAAATATAGTATTTTCGTTTAGAGAGCGAAAAAAGTATTTGACCCATCCGACACTGATGTTCCTAAACGTAAGAGAGGACGGCAACCCCTTGCAAGTAAAACCACGTTTCAAGCATCTCACGAATATCATGACATTAATCTGAAAGCCACTACTAAGGAAGGACCTAATAGACAATGCAGTTTGTGTGCCAAAGACAAATCAGAGTCACTCGTCGCATGTCGTGATTGCACAGTTAGAGGTAAATACAGTGTCTACATATAGATATCAGCATAGAACATTGCATCTTTTGCATTGAATAATAAATATTGGCTAAGTACGTTGTCAAGTTTGTCTTTATTTGTAGCTCATCCAGGCTGCATTTGGAGCCCTGAAGATCTCATCCACAAGGCTGGGAGCAGCTGGCAGTGCGAGAGATGCAAAACGTGCAGCATATGCTGCGAAACTTCGGAAACTGTGAGAAAAATTTAATGTTCTCAATCACAAACCTACTTGTAATACCATTTTCAAATATTTCTGAAATTTAAAAAAAAGATTTAATAATTAGAAATTCCTAATTTTTAAAGTTCGGTGGATAGACTGGATTATCCCATGTAGATAGTTTTCTTTGCTATATTTCTATTGGAAACTTTGCTGCAATCCTGTCTCAAGCTGGGATGTATCAAAAATTTAATCCATACTAAAAACAAAGTTGAAGAAAAACCTAAAAAATACGGAGTCCGTCGTTTTTAATTTGTATGTAAAAATAACTGCAATAAAGAGAAAATCGGGAGTGTTTGATCTAGCAAAGCTGGGAGGAGGTGGGAACGATATGAATGTAAATAATTTCGTGAGCATTGGCAACTCATTGAGAAAATTTTCGTTGATAATTTTTTTTATATTGTTAAGATTTTTGAAGATACAACTACGACAATATCAGAGGCGCGCGCGAAACGCACGCGCTATATTAAGAACTATTTTTATTGTCTGTCATCATATGTTCGGTATCTTTTAACCAAAAATATTAATCGGTTGAAGCAATTCTAACAAGTGGCAACATATTGAATAATTACTGATCATTCTTTTTTTTTCATTTTAAGGCTGGGGTGGACCACCTATCGAAGGCACCCTTTTGTTAAAATTCTATTTTGCTAATTCAAAATATATTAAGCCACACGAGTTTTTATAAAAAGATAACGAAAAAAAAGAAGAAAAATTATTGAAGGGCAGTAAATCGCAATATTGATTGAAAGGTAATTCCCGAGTTTACAAAAAAAAATTTTTTTCAATAGCTTACCATTCGTCTAGCAGCGTCTATCTGTTACTCAATCTAGTGTGGAGCAATGACAAACTGCGTATTTCTTATTATTTTTTTTTGTAAACTAAATTTTTTTACAAAATTTAAATAAAAGATGACGTTCGATAGATGGTCCAGCCGGGCCTTAATACATAACATGTAGCAGTCATCGTTATTCCGCCCTTAATTTGATTATAACATGTTATGCATGGCCAAAATGCAAGGTAGACATTTCATATGATCACGTGCATAAACGTTCATAACTAAAGACCGAATCGATATACCAAAGAGTATCATTCGAAAGCTCAGAAAATGAGCTTTGAAATGGTACCCGCAATGCCTCATTTTTTGTTTATACAGGTGCTGAAAATGTAGCCGAAACTGAAACCTTCAACATAGACGTGTCATACCGACTTCATATTTCGTGCTGTTCAATTAGCCGTAACTTCGGTTTGCGTGAAGATGAATGGATGAAATTTAAACCATTCGCATACTGACTTCGCGAGAAAAAACATGAAACACATGTCCTATATATATGAAATAGGGAGGCATTGCGGACTATAAATACCAAGTGAATGGGATGGACAACCATTTTTTAAATAAGGATTATCGTCCGTAAATTAGCAAATTCTCAAAATTAAACAAGCACAATTGAGATTCTCTTCAGCTGTTACTTTGAGGGAACACAAACCGGGCGGAGGGGAATCAGGATGAACGTTGCAGAGTCTAATTTTGATGTTCTGATGTTTCGCACAAATTTTTCGGATATATATACATTTATCCTACTTTCCGTACCTTTCCTGTTCTCACTTGTTGAATTGTGAGGCGTCTGCCCATTATACGGTAAGATAATCGTATCCGAAAAAGTAATATATTTTCAAAATAACGGACGCGAATTTTTTCAATGAACTGTCAAAAAATTCTGTCTGAAAAATTAGTTACATTCATTTTCAGTTTTGGCTTTATTGCAATTATACTCGCATAAAAATTAAAAACGACAGCCTCTATATTTTTAAGTTTTTTACATGTTTTTTTGATGTGCGACTGCACAAAAGTCCCACACAAAAAAATGAAAAAAAAACTATCTACATGAGACAGTCCACCCTGGTCTCAAAACAAAAAAAAAATCTTTAATGCTTTTCACCTTTGGTGGCACTTTTCATACAATTCTCTACTGAATGTTAGTGGCCACCCCATTGGCAGTGTTTATATTTGACGATTTTTGTGAAAAAAAAGGTGGAAGGTAACATTCTCTGACAGCTGATTTCGAGCCGCCAATGCATATAATAGTTTATTTCTCAGCCTTCGGCTCGGGCGGTAATTCTGCACGTGGGCAAGCCTTCTTTATTTTACCTTCCGTGGTGAGAACATGATTTTTCTTCCGGCGTAGGAGCAAAGACAGAATTCCCTCCCCGCGCAGCGGGAGGGAAGTGTGTACTTTGCTCCCGCTGGGGAGACAAATTACAATATTTGCGGTATATTAAGGGTCGATAATCCTAAAGGTATATTAAATCATGTAAAATCTTTGAAATTCTGACGGTAAATCTGCTTGTATTATTTTTTTTATTTCTATGTCATTAGAGTAAAATATTCATAAATATTGCTGTCCCTTTGCGTACAGCCACCCCAATTTAAAATTATAAATCAATAATGAGCAAAAGAGTAAAAATTTTCGATGGACGGTATACCGATGTTTGATAAGCCACCTTACAAACTTAACCAATAATTAACAAGAAGGGGCTACCGCATTCTGCCTCGTCGAGGAATTTTTTCATTTCCATTTTAAGTTTAATTTTTTATGAATCGTTTTGCCCTAATCGAATTCAAAAATTTTTTTTGCGACTTGAGTCATGCAGTGATGAGTTCCACAAAAAATTGTCAAGACAAAAATAATCAGTTTTCAGCTGAATAATTTTTAAAATTTCACAATTAAATACCCTTACGACACTTTTTAGAACCGAAGAACGTCAATTTTCGTCACATGAACGTGATTATTGAAAAAAACCCACGTTTAATTTTCATTAAATTTTTTTTTCCGAAAATACTGTTTCCTGCTGATTGTAGTACCAACCGCATCATTGGATCTCCGAATGGGGATTTTTTCATGAATTGTGGAAAAAAAAAAATTCAAAACGTTTAAAGTAGTTCTTATATATATATTTTTAGTGGAGAATTATTTACAACTATTTACATCATGCGAACGTATTGGAACTCCTACACTTCAATAAAAAATATGATATGTAAATAATATGATTCATGATGACATCATGATAATATAGACGCTCCTATACTTTTTCATTATGTAAAAGCTGCGAATATAATTTTTCATCGAATGCATGTGAAAAAATTGTTCATCAAAATTTCTTGAGTTTCCAGAATGTTTTTTTTTTCGAAAACTAATTTTAAAAATCCCTTTATGAGATCCAATGATGCGGAAGGTGTTAAAAGCAGCGGGCATTATACTATTCTGAACAATAAAAATTTGATGGAAATTAAGTGTTTTTTTTTTCAATAATCATGTTAGTGTGACGAAAATTAATGTGTTTTTTAGGTCTAAAAGTGTCGTAATGATGAATTATAACATAGCTAAATTTTTTCATTTGCTCACTTAAAACTGCTTTTTTTTGTTTTAATCATTTTTTGTGTAACTTATTACAGTAAAAACTCCTTATGTGTCCACCATTCTAACTGTCTAACGCATCGCCGCGTGAGGAGAATCGTTCCCCCACTTCAACATTTTCTCCTTTCAACAGCCTTTTTTAATATTATCCTTCCTCTCTCTTATATGCGTCTTAAATGTGCGCACTGGAGTTAACCTGGCTGACAAACGGTTTGCCAAGCGAAAATCATTCGCTCCTCTCCCACTAGTGTACTTACGTCTATGTTTTTCAATTTTCAGCGCCCTCACTCTCTCGAAGTCGGAGAGAGGGTAACTCTCTAACTGTCCTTCCAGGAATTCAGACCCCGGAAGTTTTTAATGTACTAGTAGGCGTAAATGAGATCTTAAAAAAAGTTCATGATTCGATTGCGGCAATCACGTCTTAAAAAGTTAAAATGAAATACTACGGAGTGTTATATTTGTGTGGTAAATCGATTTGCAAACAAATCTAAAACCATAAGGGTTGAAACTTCATGAGCTGACATGGAATGTCCATATACATATATGTATATGTATAGAAGATATACACGGAGAGAAAAGTGCAAGAAAAATTACTGTGCCGAGCACTACAATCGTGGTGCAAAATGCTAGAATACTAGAACTTCTTTGATTCACAAATAAAAATTACTATCAATATGTCAAATTTTCTTATACATTCCGTACTAATCATGTGTGGCTCCATATAATTTACTAAACAGCACTATAAAATTTGAAGGTCTATCATTTTTTGTTTGAGTTTGAAAGAAAAATTGATAGAAATCCTTCAAAAATTCCTATCGATCGGTATTTTTTATTGTGCTTTCTTTTAATTTTTACTGTGCTACACAGCATTTTCTCCAAACATTTTTTAACCCAATATGATTGGTTAGCGATGAACGTCGAATATTTCCGATTCTTGAGGAAATTGAATTTAACAATGGTAACTGTTGCGACGACTATGAATTTTTATTTGGCCGATAACGAAGTTTTGCTCGGTCGATGAAGAAATATTACTGCATGGCATAGTAATTTTTCTCAGGCCTGCAGTTTACACCTAGATTGTAAGGCAGCACAGTAATTTTTATCGGAATCACAATATAAAAATTCATAGATTTTTCTCTCCGTGTACTAGATGTATATTAGACCTATTCATTTTTTGAGAAACATTCTTTCCAAGTCAAAAACAACATTGTACACTGTTATTTGACATAATAATAACGCTCCCGAAGGCCAGGCTTAGGCAGATGATTCTAAGAGGTAGCGCGATGGTACAAAATGTTCCTCATTTGATTAGCATGCACAATCAGACTTTTCCCCGTTTCAAAACATTTTAATTTTTTTTTCGCCATTGTCGCTCATTTCTACAATGGGACAACTACACATACATGTTAAACTTGATTATTTTCCGCCTCCAAATTTCAGCCAGTAGAATTGTACCATTCGACGAGGCTACTCGGTATTATACTAATTATTTCTTCTCTCAGATTGACAACCAATAGAATGATTACATTTGGGGTTACTTACCTGGTATTATTTTGATATTTTTCGAATATTCCCCGCTGCCAGAACCAGCCGACCACACAACAGCAAAAAAATTCTTTTCATTGCGATTCTGAGAAAAGCAATAATCCGACAAATATATCCCTTGAGCTTTAAAATTAAGCGACTCAAACTTCCCTGTAAACAGACATAATGGCGCCAAGTTCTTTTTCTCCCCAGCGGGAGTAAAGTAAACACTTCCTCTGACTTTGCTCCTACGCCGGGGAGAAAAATGATGTTCTTACCACGGAAGGTGAAATAAAAAAGGCTTACTCACGTGCTTACTACGTGTAATTCTGTACGTGGGCAAGCCTTCTTTACTTTACCTCCTTAGGTGAGAAATATACTATTTCTTGATACTCTCATTTGTTTACAATGAAGTCATCCGGAAATATTTGATAGTTTTAGACCTCCTGGGGTATTACTACTGATTATTTTTCTGGCCCAAATATCGACTAATAGAATTACACTATTGAACGTCATCATTTACCATTTCACGTGGTACAACCTACATGATTTTAGACTGATGTTCTTCTAATAATTTTCTCTGGTAGTTGTTATGTAAGAAACTAAACATTATCCAGTCAAATTAACCCCACGACATACAGACAAACATGAAATTCTTATTTCGTATTTCTTATTTTTTTTAATCGCACTTCGTGCTCGTGATTTTTAACCTGAAAAATTTAACACGTTCATTTGTCTGCAACCAACCTATCGGGAAATAAGTCATTATAAAATAAAAATTCATTCTTTTTCGCACTTGAATGGGTATCAAATAGGTGAAAATAATAAATTTTTATTACACGGTCATAAAAATTCAAACCATTTTGCCCTCGCATTTCGATGACGTGCATCGGTCATCTCCCGATGTTACCCTCACCACACAAATATACGACAACCCTTGTAATCACGTTAGACCCCTTATAATTGGAAACTTAATCATTTTATGGCTACAACTCCGAGCCTACCTCAGGTTGCCCACTTCTGCTCTAACCATCCCCTATTCCATTAAATGTATATCGAATAGACAGCCTCACCCATCGTATCATCGAGAAGAAAGTGGACGTGGGAAGAGCTGAGGTACGAGAAGCTGGGACCTGCTCAAGACGTTTTTACAGTGAAATAATCCTGTCGAAGCCCGTCCTCACACCAGGAAACCATCAATAGGCAACCAATTTCACTACCAATCAATGTCAATGAGATTGTTTCATGATGTCGTTGTTATTCTATCCAGAGATGCGGGAAAATCCTTCCTGCGAATCTACTAGATAATTACCAAAAACATTCTCAATAATTCTACCAGCAAATTCGTTTATATTAGCATATCTTCTTTACATTTTTGTTTCTTATTGTGTATTCTAGGGAGTTTTTTTTTAATATTCTTTGGCCAAGAAATAGGAATAAACGAGGAATGCATCCGAAATTTACCATGCTTCATCATCACTACAAATAATTATAGAAATATGAGTCACGTTATTGTTCATAATTTCAGGGCGCTTTGATCACATGTATAGCCTGTGATGAAGCTTATCATTATGTATGCCACACGCCGCGTGTGCCTTCTTCTAAATCTCATTCAAAATGGCACTGTAGTAACTGCGCTGAAAAGAAGCTACAGAAGATGACTCCAGTGATAGGACTAGAGAAGGTCCTGCCCTCTCGACCAGAAACTCCGATAAATCCTCCTCAATTACCACCAGTTCTGAGCCCTCAAGTCTCTCCAACTAGAGGTTTAATTGATCATAACGATGATGAGATCTGCCCTCGTGATGGAATTGATCCAAACATTCCTGATGCCTCGGACTGGACATCGGAACAGGTTTATCAGTACTTTGCGAGACTTTTCCCGAAAGAGGCTGAGGTATTTAGACTACAGGTTAGTATCCGTGTAAACTGTTCGAAAAATAGAGGATTTCTTCACGGAAGAAATATAGCTATGAAAAAACAAAAAAAAAATTGTGAAAAAAAACGTCAGCTGACAATTTTGATACGTTGTCTCAAAATAAATTCGAAAACAAACAGTATTTATTGAATAGATATAAGGCTCTTACTCTTACTGCATTATGAAAAATTGTCCAATTAAATGAAATAAGAAACAGAACCAAGTTTATAAAGGGTATTTTCCCTGACACAACACTACAGTTTCCCTCGATCATTCGCACATCTGAAGATTTTTTAAGTTTAGTAAATCCACATGCCCTCTGGAGAAAAGTTCGTAAGTATGAGAACTTCCAAAAATAGTCAGAACCAACGTTTTTGGCGCCCATTTTCAGACTCATTTTTCAAACATAGTGTTCATGAATCAATTCGGAAGGAATTTTTTTTTATATGCAGGACACGTTTATAGAAATTTGTTTACAAACTATTGACGACTATACAACGCAGGGAACAATTATTCACGGAACGCGGGCCAAGTACGCTGATCCTGGTTATTTTTTTAACTTTTTCTGAATCAAATTCTCATGTTTACTATTTACTTCGTAGAGCTTAGGTGGATTTTATCATGTTGTTTATGGCTGTTATGTTACAAATCATAAAGATAAGCACTATTGTGCTGATAAATTCAGCATTATGTAGAGCACAAAACACGTCATAAACTTGATGTTGTTTCATATTTCAGTTATTTCCAAAATTTTTCATAATGCACTGAGTGTAAGAATCTTACATCCACTCAACCAATACGTTCATTTTCGATTTTTTCTTCACAAGCAACTTGTGATTTACAGACATTTCTGTACTTTTTCCATCGTATTTCAGCTGTTTTCTTACATACTAGTCGGGACGTGCACTTCACTTGCGCTTTCTAGGTTGCATGAAATTGAACATGTTATGTTCTGCGACGTAATTTTCGAAGGTTCACGGAACCCTTCGTCCATCAGCCCGCCCTCTGGCACCAAATCACCCCGAAAATAAAATCAGAAAATTTAGTCAGGCGCCAGGTCACTAAAAACGGAATGACCACCGTAAACAAAATCCTTCTCCACTCTCAGCTTCAATAACTCCTGTAGCTCGTTACGTAGAGATTTAAATAATCGGAAGCTGAAAGGGGATGAAACTGGGATCCTCAGCAAAAAAAAATAAATAAAATAAGAATTGTCGGGGAGAACAATATTTAATAAAAAAAAATCAGTCTCGATACAAAAAAAAATTATAAAATAAAATCCCCTCAAATCGACCACGCGTCACGGAACATTTTAAATTGATCGGTCAAGTCAAATCGTTTGATTAAATTTATACAGGTATTTCTGAAGTCTAGAAATTTTTAAAATAAATAAATTAATAAATAATTAAATAGTCACAGAAGTCAGAATTAATTAAAATATCAAACAACTGAGTCACGAGACTCGAGTTGTTATTATCAACAAAACTAAAGAAAAATTAACGGAAAACAACTGAGTTACAAAACTCAATTGTTAGCAGTCGAAGAAGTCAAAAGTTTTATCAGAAATACTTTACAAGAAATTGTCACATTAATTCAATGACTCTAAACAGTAACGCGAAAAATCGATAAGTCTACGTGACCTCGAACAAACAAAAATACATAAAATAAATACAAAACCAGAGACAGAAAAATTCGTAGGTCGCGAGACCTTGAAACTATGAAAGTCGAAATTAAATTCAATGGCGAGAATCACCAGGTTTTGCGACACAAACTCATCATACAGAAGTCGCAAAAAAACTCACTAAAAAAAAATCACAACTAACAAAATTTACATGAATTGAATCTAACCGGAGTTTTGAAAGAGAGAGAGAGCCAAAAATAATCACTGACTAAAGTGGCCAGAGATCTCCTGATGATATAATCGACTAACAGTCCTACAGGACTCGGGTGTTCGTTACACCAATAAACAATTAAGAATCTCTGCCCACTGTTTGACAAAATAATCTGTAAGAGTATTTTTCCCGGGTCAACACCCCGGGATAATCCTCAAACTATTCTGGCTGCCGCCTCTATCGTTCACGACTGGGCGCCAGCCAGGTTTTTCTGGAAAACCTGACGGAAAACCAGCCGCGAAGGAATTTCGTCAACTCCGCGGACTTTCGGTGGCGGGTCTCACAATGCCGAGCCAGCATCAGCATGACACGGTAGAGTGGGCGAGGTTCACCAACGTACGAGTAACTTCAATCACTAACTGCTGCCGTGCTTACGGCATCGTCAACGATATCTTTTGGGGAACGTATTCCCCAGACTCTCGTGGAGGAATGTGATCCCTTTCACGTGGTACTCTCTCCTCTGGGGTGGCTCAACCCCAGACAAGACACAGATTATCTGCGAATCCTTCTCACCCCGCAGGGCGCCGAACTGCTCGAGGCACATGCGACGTAGGTATCCGGAGACCTTTCTCACCCACCTAACGTAACGTCCACCCCAACTCGAGAGCTCGGTAATAGCAATCTCATCGCGAGTCAAAACTAGAGTTACTTCCCATGGAGGCGCGTGTGACCGGACCGACGGGAAACGCCTTGAATCCCAGCCCTTAGTCCACCCCAACACCATGGATTTCGCCCTAGAGATGGATCTCTGTAGCCTCGGACTCTCGTCCGTAGCCTCAAAGTAATCCATTGCACTGATCGGGGACACAAGTGTCCCCTTCTCTCGCTATTCCAAGATTCCTTGGAACCACGTACCCTTCATAATCCCGGCAGGGATTATTGCCACCAACTGATCCCGAGCTCCTAAAACATCCGCTCGAGACCAGCACTCAACGCAAACTATCCTGAAATCTACCAAGGCCTTCTCCCCCTAGGCTGAGCATCTCAGCGACTGTGGGTCATCCGTTACCCCACAGCCACCAATCAACTCGACGGGATCCCGGGGGCGCTAGTTCTTTCACCTAGCCGTTGGTCCCTGGTCTAAGTCGACGGCGCCCTTCGGAACCACCCAGTTGGAACGCCTGTACGTCGGCCATGGACTCCCTAACACAGCTGGGTGGATTTCCGAATTGGGAAACAGCTATCGTCAGCGCCATCACAGTGTTCCGAAACATGGTCTCACCCTACCACGTTTCTTCCCACTGTGTGATTGGTCTAATTTACCTTCGGAGCGGCCTGATTGGCCGTCGTCCGATGGTCTATTCATCTTTCGCTCGGCTATTTCAGCCGGCGTTAGATGTCGTTCATTTCACCGAGTTATTTTGCTAGTGATATTCCCTAGTAACGAGAAAATCTCGTTACAAATCTCACAATAAACAAAACGCCACCACGCTCACCTGAATATTCCGAAGTTATTCTCACACTCTCGGAACTCCTGGATAAACAAATGTTCTCAAATCCACCAAATAAATTCTCTAATATCGTCGTCCTAACAATTGGAACTTGGCGTCCTCTGAGTAACAGAAATTATCAGCAGGTCCGCTCTTATTACCCACCAAACGGAAAGTAATTTCTAAAACGCACGAGAACTGGCAACAGGTAGGTAACGCGGTTACTTAGATGATTGGGGGGGAATGACAACGTCATCATCCACCAATCCCAATCAAACGGCCATGCGCGCCACAGACAATAATTTTTACACGCATACGCTACGAATTTTTGCGATGCTCAATCTCAATTTCTTTAATTATCATAAATGATAATATATCCTCAGCGCTGCCTAATAAATATAAAATAATTTTCCGCGTTACAGACTACCTTGTGAGAATAGTAACTCTCCTCCACAATAATCCTTAACCTATTTTTCATTAATTGCCAATCCGCCTCGTGTTCTGGTGATACGTCACTTCCGTGGTAATTGATAGCTGGATTGTTGCTCCATTGTCGGCCACACCGAAAATCCAGTTATCATCAGAAATTAGGATTTCGATGACATCTCTCGGCGTCCAGGGATCCTCGTCGATGTCCTCAGAATGGAACGCGGTGGCGCATAATTCAAAATAAAACAAAATACAATCAAACGTATGTTCTCCTCTCTTCTCAAAACTCTCGCCATTGAAGGTGACTTCCCGTCTGGTGGAAGTCTCTAAAATCGCGAAACGGTCGACAACCAGTAACTGGTAAAATACCACCTTACAGTTCAAAATTCGGATATTTATATTTTCATTCGTTATTTCGGATGAATCTTCTTTTTTCTCCAAATTTATTTTGTAATGTTCATATTTTAAATAATTAGAATTATTGAGATGAAATTTCTTTACGCGCGTCATGAATTTTCGACGACCGGAGTAAAGGCGACTCAAGATAGTCACGAAAATCGCCATGGCGAGGTGGGGTAACCGGAGCCCTGGAGACATCACTACCGTTTACCGTTCACTGTTGTTCTCTCCTCGTACCCGCTTGCTGAGGTGATGGATCACTGGCGAAAGTTCTCTCTGTTGAAATGAAAAGAAAGAGAGGAATACTAGACGTTTCATTGACGTCGTGCGTAAGCTTGAAACGCCCATGATTTTTTTTTCTAATATTATTGATAAACAACTCATCAACAATTAATTTCGGACCATTTCTGATTTCTCAAGGGAATAAGCGTGATTCAATTAATTTATCTATTAAGATATGAGTTGATTTAAGTTAATGAAAAATTAATTAACTCAGAATTATCGAAAGTCATTTCTCAAGGAATTTGATGGTCTTTGAAACGAAGTATGAACACTCCGATTAATTTCATACAGAAATTCGAAACTTTCAGCCAAAGTCGAATTTCTGATTAGAACATGGAAAAGGAACTTTGAAATGAAACTGTCATGAGTCCATGAAAAATTATTAGAACTACACCAATTCGATATCATTTTAAAGCTCAAAATTTCAAGTTTAATAAGCTGTCAGATGACTGTAGCATATATGTATATGCTGCATTGAAGAAGGAAAGAAAAATAGTGGTAGAAACCGATGAAAGGTAGGTGCATCATTCTTCGTCAAGTGGACCACCTATATTCTGCATGT